GGGGTGCAGTGGCATGATTATGGCTCACTGCAGCCTCATCCTGGGGGCAGGTGACCCTCCAATCTCATCCTCCCAAGTAGCTAGGACTACAGACATGCACCACCATACCTGGGTAATTTTAAAATTTTTTTGTAGAGAAGGGGCCTCTTGTTGTCAGGCTGGTCTGGAACTCCTGGGCTCAAGCAATTCTCTTGCCCTGGCCTCTCAGTGCTGGGATTACAGGTGTGAGCCACCAGGCCCAGCCTAGTTCTATGAGAGTTTATTCCCTATGTAGTACTGTGTGACCAACACCATAATCAGGGCACACAACATAACAAAGAAACTCCCCTGTGTTTTCCCTTCAGAGTCAGACTTCCCACAGCCCTAACCCCTGGCAGCCACTGACATATTCTCCATTACCGTAATTTTTGTCATTTTGAGAATTTATAAAATTGACATTACATAATATGTAACTGTTTTGAGATTGGCTTTTTTTCACTCAACACAATGCCCTATCCAGGTTATTGTGATCTATCTAAGTTGTGTGTGTCAGTGGTTCATTCCTTTTACTTGTTGAGTAGTATTCCACTGTATGGACGTACCACAGTTTGTTTATCCATTTGCTAGTGACATTTGGATTATTTCCAGTTTTCGATGATTGCAAATAAAGCTGCTATAAACATTCATGTACAGGTTTTAAAAATAATTTTTGTAAACAAAGAATTTCTTCTAGGGTGTATACCTGGGAGCGCGATTGCATGTGAAAAGTCTATGTTTAACTTTATAGCAAACTATCGAACTTTTCTAGAGTGGTTGTTCCATTTTACATTCCTGCCTCCAGTAAATGAGAGGTCTAGTTGTTCAGCATGCTTGTTAACACTCGGTATGGTCAGCATTTGTTCTGTCACCTTGCTGGGCTTCCTGGAGAGGTCTCTCTCTCTCTCCCCACTAGTATCTTTTCCCTCGGTTCTTGCTGGTGGCCTGCTTTAGCTCAGAGGTTTGCAGGCTTGTTTTTTGTCATGGGACCATTTTACAACCTGAATCCTACACAGAACACCAATAGGAAAGTCAGATGACAGTGGAGTTGCTGAGCAGAGCTGGGCGCTCTCTGGACCTCATCACTGCCCCAGCAGCTGTCCCCAGATGTCCCTCACATGTGAGGCCTGACTCCCACCCCCAGCACTGGTGCCATGAACCTGGGGCCTCTGCCTGCAGCCTAAGGTCTAGGAACACTAATATTTGCCTGATCTCCATTTCTTAGATGCCTAAGAAGACAGAAAAGAGACATTATAGCTGAGCACATGTCAAAAAATCAGTTTATGATTTTATATGCCATTGTTAAACAGATGGTATTTGAGGAAAACTACCAAGATTGCTAAATGTGGCTAGGTTTATGTTTGAAAACAGAAAATACACAACTATGCCTGTTGCTTAGGGGATTGGAGTATAAGGACATGTTTCTAAAATCCTGATTTTTCCATGGCAGATTGTCACCTGTTTGCTCAAACAGTGTTAGCAATTTAGATATTATTATGATAAACTGATATTCAAGCTTTCAGCTAGGGAGTTGCCAGAATACTTTTTTATCCAGCTTTAATTTCTTTGTGAATTTATTATAGGAACAGTTCAAATGAGGAGCATGCTCCATCTAGTGGTTGTTTTTAACTGTACAATTTAAAATAAAATTGAAACATTTATTTAGAACAGGTGTTATTTCAACTTGATTCAAAAGTCAGAAAACATTAAAAAAAAAAAAAAACCCATACTGTTTCCCATCTACTCAGTTTTCCCACCTCCACCTCATGTATCCAAAAGGTAAAAACTGTTAGTTTCTAACGTGTCTTCAAAGAAATTTTACAAAATACACACGTATATAAGCAATGTGTGTCTTGTTAATCAGTATTTCTGCCCACATAGCATTATTCTCATCCCGGGTAGGGCATTTTGGGAGTGGGAATGAGAATAGACCCGTAATTAAAATGTCTAACAGCCGGGCGCGGTGGCTCACGCCTGTAATCCCAGCACTTTGGGAGGCCGAGACGGGTGGATCACGAGGTCAAGAGATCGAGACCATCCTGGTCAATATGGTGAAACCCCGTCTCTATTAAAAATACAAAAATTAGCTGGGCATGGTGGCGTGTGCCTGTAATCCCAGCTACTCAGGAGGCTGAGGCAGGAGAATTGCCTGAACCCAGGAGGCGGAGGTTGCGGTGAGCCGAGATCGCGCCATTGCACTCCAGCCTGGGTCGCAAGAGCGAAACTCCGTCTCAAAAAAAAAAAAAAAAAAAAAAAGTCTAACATGTCTCTGTTGAGAAATTTATTTGATATAAGGAACTCGAGTGTTAATAGTTGAGAGCTGTTTAGTAATAGCCCAGTTTACTTAAGGCCCCCTTTTTTTTTCCCCCTGAGGTGGAGTCTCCGTCTGTTGCCCAGGCTGGAGTGCAGTGGCACGATCACCGCTCATTGCAACCTCCGCCTCCTGGGTTCAAGCAATTCTCCTGTCTCAGTCTCCTGAGTAGCTGAATTACAGGCTCCCACTACCATACCCGGCTGATTGTTTCTATTTTTAGTAGAGACAGGGTTTGTTCATGTTGTCCAGGCCAGTCTCCAACTCCTGACTTCAGTTGATCTACCCGCCTTGCCCTCCCAAAGTGCTAGGATTAAAGGTGTGAGCCACTGTGCCTACCCCAGGCCTGTTTATTTTATAGCTTTTGATCATTTCTTCAGCTCTTTTGGCCGATGCATGTATTATCTGTGCATTAGTGGCTTTCATCTACAGATGTATTATGTCTTACTTTTATGCATGGATTGCACAAAATCATTACTAGGATGTGACGCCTGTGAGATGTTTATTGTTATGAGCAGGAAGCCTTGCAATGTGAGCATAGGTGTGAATTTTGGATTTTAAAATAGATGAATAACAACTATTTTATAGTAAAGTTATTGAAATGGAAATTTAAAGAAATAGCTAATAATTTGTGTTTCAGAATCTTCCCAGTAATCTACTTCATGGAACCCCACAGGCTGTGCTATCTAATTTTTGTCTTTTTGAGGTTTCTCTTGATTCACATTTTTTCTTTTTGATTACAGAATTTATAATTTAACACATCTAAGAGTGTGTATGGAGTGTATATATGTATATATACATATAATGCTCCATAGCTTGTATTGTTCCATAATAATGCATACTCCTAACATGTGTGAAGACATTCAAAGGACCATGTTTCTAGAAGAATTGCCGAGTCAAAAAGTAGGTTCAGAGCCAGGATGGCAGTGTGCACTTGAAGTTCTAGCTACTCAGAGGGCTGAGGCAGGAGTATTCCTTAAGCCTATAAGTTGGAGTCCAGCCTGAGCAACATAGTGAGACATCATCTCAAAAACAAACAACAAAACCCCCAGATGTAGATTCATTTCTAATTTTTATTGATATAATCTAATTGCCACATGTAGAGATTGTACCAATTTATACCCTGCCTTCCTTCTTCCCTCCCTCTCTCCTCTGGGCTAGCATATAAGGGCATCTGTTCCCCACAACCTTACCAACCTTGAGAGTGTGTTATGAGACTGTCTGGACTTTGTTCATTTGACAGGCAAAAACTGGTATGAGTATAATTTTAATTTGTGCTGCTTTTATTACACCTGGGAGCAGGGATTTTAAAAAGATGCTTAAATGCCATTTGTATTTCTTATTTTGTGGTGTGGACCATCTGTTCAAATAGAGCGTCCACTTGGTCTGTTTGTAATGAACTGTAGGAGCTCTTTAATTAGGAGGATTGGCCCCTTTGCAATGACACCAGTAACAAATATTTTGTCTCAGTTTACATTTGTTCTTTAACTATCTTTATGGTGTTTTTCGTCATGCAGAAATTTTTGTTATTAGTCACATTTATCAGTCTTTTCTTTATGGCTTCTAAATATTGTGTTACATTTAGAAAGATTTTTTGAATTAAAATTGTGAAATAATTATTCATGTTTTAATACTTGGTGGTTTTATTTTTCTTCATGTAAATTTTTGATCTATTTGGAATTTATTCTGGTACATTGTGTGAAATGGGGATCTGACTTAATTTTCTTTTCCAGTTGGCTACCCAGCTAAAAGTTTCAATAATGTTTGTTTTTCCTGTGATTTAATATACTAAGTTCGTCTTACATATATGAAATTTCCATATATAATTACTTCTGTTTCTCAATATTCTATTTTATTCTATCGGTCTATCTGCCTGTTTTGCATGATTTGAGTTACTAAGGCCTTATCACACATCTTTTTAAAAAAAAATTTTAAATAGAAATTTGCCCTTTTTATTTTTGTCTTCAAATTTTTTTTTTCCTTTTTTTTTTTTTTCTGAGATGGAGTTTCACTCTTGTTACCCAGGCTGGAGTGCAATGGCGCGATCTCGACTCACCGCAACCTCCGCCTCCTGGGTTCAGGCAATTCTCCTGCCTCAGCGTCCTGAGTAGCTGGGATTACAGGCACACACCACCATGCCCCGCTAATTTTTGTATTTTTAGTAGAGACAGGGTTTCACCATGTTGACCAGGATGGTTTTGATCTCTTGACCTCGTGATCCACCCGTCTCGGCCTCCCAAAGTGCTGGGATTACAGGCTTGAGCCACTGCGCCCGGCCTTCTTCAAATTTTTTTTTTTTTTTAATAAAAAAATTGTATTTACTTAGAAGCATTCAGAATGTCAACAAAACAGCTGCAACTTTTTTTTTTTTTTTTTTTTTTGCAATTACAGAGTGGTATTCAGTTAACAGAACAACAATTATTTCGTATAAGCTGCATCAGAGACCACTGAAGATGAAAAAACTACCATCCCCATATATAACTAATTTGTGCTGTGCACCAACAAGAACCTGCTTTAAATTTCCATGCCAATTTACAACCCCCATACTGTACCAGGCAAGGTTAGTGGCTATTGAAAATACCAACAGGACAGGGCTATCTAAAGACACATTCGGTAGTGTGTTAACTATACAAAAAAAGACACTGTACCGTTTAAAAACAAATCTTACACAGCCTTACATTTCCATTTTTTTCTTTAAAAGGAGTGAGTTGTGTACAGGGGGGTTAAATGCTTTATAGACAAGAAACAAAACTGCGCTAGAACCAACTTATTCATCATCATCATCTTCTTCTTCATCTTCATCTTCTTCATCTTCCTCTTCCTCCTCGTCCTCTTCATCTTCCTCATCTTCCTCCTCCTCCTTCTTTTTCTTGCTTTTTTCAGCCTTGACAACTCCCTTTTTGGCTGCATCAGGCTTTCCTTTAGCTCGATATGCAGCAATATCCTTTTCGTATTTTTCCTTCAGCTTCGCAGCCTTCTTTTCATAAGGCTGCTTGTCATCTGCAGCAGTGTTATTCCACATCTCTCCCAGTTTCTTCGCAACATCACCAATGGACAGGCCAGGATGTTCTCCTTTGATTTTTGGGCGATACTCAGAGCAGAAGAGGAAAAAGGCCGAAGGAGGCCTCTTGGGTGCATTGGGATCCTTGAACTTCTTTTTTGTCTCCCCTTTAGGAGGAGTATAGGTTTTCATTTCTCTCTCATAACGGGCCTTATCTACCTTTGCCATATCTTCAAATTTTCCTTTCTCTTTAGCAGACATGGTCTTCCACCTCTCTGAGCACTTCTTAGAAAACTCTGAGAAGTTGACTGAAGCATCTGGGTGCTGCTTCTTATGCTCCTCCCGACAAGTTTGCACAAAAAATGCATATGATGACATTTTGCCTCTCGGCTTCTTAGGATCTCCTTTGCCCATGTTTAGTTATTTTTCCTCAGTGAGGCACAGAGTCGCCCAGTGCCCGTCCGGCTCTCATTTGCCACGGCGCTGTCTCTATGGAGCTCAATGTACTGCAATGGCTGTGAGAGCGGGAGCCAGACGCAGCCTCCTCACTCTCTCCGCTCTGTCCAGATTTTTTTAAGTTCAGGGGTACATGTGCAGGATGTGCATGTTTGTTACATAGACAGATGTGGGCCATGGTGGTTTGCTATACAGATCATCTCATCATCTAGGTATTGAGCCCAGTATCCATTAGCTATTCTTCCTGATGCTCTCCCTCCCTCCAGCCCCCTACTGACAGGCTCCAATGTGTGTTGTTCCTCACCATATGTCCATATGTTCTCATCATTCAGCTCCCATGCATAAGTGAGGACATGCAGTGTTTTTGTTTTCTATTCCTGCATTAGTTTGCTAAGGATAATGGCTTCCAACTCCATCCATGTTCCTGCAAAGAACATGATCTCATTCCTTTTTATGGCTGCATGGTATTCCATGGTGTATATGTACTACATTTTCTTTATCCAGTCTATCATTGATAGGCATTTAGGTTGACTTCATGTCTTTGCTAATGCAAATAGTGCTGCAGTGAACATAGGCATGCATGTATCTTTATAATAGAATGATTTATATTCCTTTGGGTATATACCCAGTAATGGAACTGCAGGGTCAATTGGTATTTCTGCATTTAGGTCCTTGAGGAATTGCCACACTGTCTTCCACAATGGTGGAACCAATTTACACTTTTACCAACAGTGTAAAAGTGTTCCTTGTTCTCTGCAACCTCACCAACATCTGTTGTTTTCTGATTTTTAAATAATTACCATTCTGACTGATGTGAGATAGTATCTCGCTGTGGTTTGATTTGCATTTCTCTAATGCAGTGATTTTAAGACTTTTTTCATGTTTGTTGGCCACATGTATGTCTTATTTTGAGAAGTGTCTGTTCATGTCCTTTGCCAACCTTTTAATGGGGTTGTTTTTGTTTTTTGTAAATTTGTTTATGTTCCTTGTAGACTCTGGATAGTAGACCCTTGTCAGATAGATAGATTGCCCATTCTGTAGGTTGTTCACTCTGATGATAGTTTCTTTTTCTATCCAGAAGCTCTTCGGTTTAATTAGATTCCATTTGTCAAATTTTGCTTTTGTTGCAGTCACCTTGGGCACTTTTATTATAAAATATTTGCTCATACCTATGTCCTGAATGGTATTGCCTAGATTTTCTTCCAGGGTTTTTATAATTTTGGGTTTTATATTTAAATCTGTAATCCATCTTGAGTTAATTTTTATATGTGGTGTAAGGAAGGGGTCTAGTTTCAATTTTCTGCCTATAGCTAGCCAGCTCTCCCAGCACCATGTATTAAATCAGGAGTCCTTTCCCCATTGCTTGTTTTTGTGAGGTTTGTTAAAGATCAGATACTTGTAGGTGTACAGTCTTATTTCTGACGTCTTTATTCAGTTCCATTGGTCTATGTGTCTGTTCTTGTACCAGTACCATGCTATTTTAGTTACTATAGTAACTTTAGTTACTATAGTTTGAAGTTAGGTAGTGTGATGCTTCCAGCGTTGTTCCTTTTTGTCTTGGCTATCTGGGCTCTTTTTTGGTTCCATAGGAATTTCAAAATAGTTTTTTTTTTCTAATTGTGTGAAGAATGGTAATGAGAGTTTAATGTGAAAAGCATTGAATCTATACATTATTTGGTGCAGTATGGCCATTCTCTAATGGTTTGTTTGCATTTTTGTCAGTAGTGATATCCCCTTTATCATTTCTGATTGAGTTTATTTGATTCTTCTAACTTCTTTATTAGTCTAGCTAGTGGTCTATTTTATAAATTTGTTCAAAAAACTAGCTCCTGGATTCATTGATTTTTTTGAAGGGTTTTTCATGTCTCTATCTCCTTCAGTTCAGCTCTAATCTTAGTTTTTTTTCTTGTCTTCTGCTAGCTTTGGGAGTTTATTGCTCTTGATTCTCTTGTTCTTTTGGTTGAGATGTTAGGTGTTAACTTCAGATCTTTCTGCTTTTTGATGTGGGCATGTAGTGCTATAAATTTTCCTCTTAACAATGCTTTAGCTGTGTCACAGAGATTCTGGTACATCCTCCTTTTGTTCTCATTGATTTCAAAGAACTTCTTGACTTATGCCTTAATTTCGTTATTTACCCAAGAGTCATTCAGGAGGGCGTTGTTCAGTTTCCTGTAGTTGTGTGGTTTTAAGTGTATTTCTTAATCTTGAATTCTAATTTGATTGCTCTGTAGTCCGAGACACTGTTTGTTATGAGTTTAGTTCCTTTTCATTTGCTGAGGAATGTTTTCTTCCAAATATGTGATCAATTTTAGAATAAGTACCATGCAGTGTTGAGAAGAATGTATATTTTGTTGTTTTTGGGTGGAGAGTTCTGTAGATATCTATCAGGTATACTTGATCTAGAGCTGAGTTTAGGCCCTAAATATCTTTGCTAATTTTTTATCTTGATGATTTGTCGAATACTATCAGTGGAGGAGTAGTCTCCAAGTATTCTGCGTGGGAGTCTAAGTCTCTTTGTAGGTCTCTAAGAACTTGCTTTATGAATCTGGGTGCTCCTGTATTGGATGCATATATATTTTAGGATACTTAGCTCTTCTTGTTGAATTGAACCCTTTACCATTATATAATGCCCTTCTTTGTCTTTTTTTAATCTTTGTTGGTTGAAAGTCTGTTGTTGTTGTTGTTTTTCCCAGAAACTAGAATTGTAACCCCTGATTTTTTTCTGTTTTCCATTTGCTTGGTAAATTTTTCTTTATCCCTTTATTTTGAGCTTGTGTGTCTTTGTACGTGACATAGGTCTCTTGAAGACAACATACTGATGGGTCTTGGCTTTTTATCCAGCTTGCCAATCTTGCCACACATCTTATTGTCTGAAAAGATCATACTTCCCTGAGTTTAGAGTTTTCCTATTTTTCTTTCTTTTTATATATGAATTTTAAAATCACTTGTTGGCATTGTTATTTGGGTTACGTTTAATGTATGAATTAACAGAAGCATAATTGATTTTGTTATGATATTGTCTTCTTTTAAAAAACATGGCACACATTTCTGTTTGTCCAAGTCTTCTCTTGTGTTCTTTAGATGTACTTAGATGAAAGCTTTTTCTTCTAAGTTCTGTAAATTTAAAAAATGTATTCTAAACTATATTTTTATTTTGTTTTATTTCTTTTGCAAGTGGGATAGTTTCCTTCATGCATTTTCGAACTGGTTTTTAATGTATCTTTATAAAAGCTATTGATTTATTGTGTATCCTTTGTTGAATCTCTTATTTTTGTAGGAGTTGTTAGTTCATTGTCTTAGGAGCTTCCAGGTGTACAATCATATTATAGTTAGCTATAATGCAGTATATAGTAGCTCAAAATGACAGCTGTTTATTGCTGTTCATGCACCTGTGCATGACTGGGAGGACCTTCTGGTCTTAACTCATTCATGTATTTTAGTCAGCCGTGAATTGGATAGACAGTTTCTTTGACCTTGGTTGGACCCGCACGTATATGAGGGTTACCTAGAGGTAGGTTGGTGTAGGATGGTTTTGGCCAAGACAAGTGAGCTGTTCTTACATATCGCTTACTTTATATTACCCCCAAGCAGGGTGGTATAGGCATATTTTTAGCTTAATTCAGGGATATTCCCATGAATATCACAGGATATGATGTATTTTTTTTTTTGCATTAGCATTCCCGTGGAGCAAGACAGATAGGAAAATGCATAAGCACTTACTTAAGTGTTTGCTTTTCTCAGGTCTACCAATTTAAACAGCCAAAGTATGTTGCATTGGCTAAGCCCAGATTTAAGAAGTAGGAAAGTAAACCCTGCCTCTTAAATGAGAACTGGAGTGTCAAAGGGCAAGAGTCAAGGAGAGATGAAGCACAGGTGTCATCAATAAATCAACCTGCTACGTGCATCTGCAAATAGTAATAGTGTTACTTGCTCCTTTCCAATTTTGATGTTTCTAATTTTTTCCCTTGTTTGATTGCATAGGCTAATACCACCAGAACAATATTCAACAACAACCTCTTGTGGTTGTTGCTTTCAAAGAGACAGCTTTTGGATTTATTAGTTATTACTTTTTCTGTTTTCTGATTACTTTTTTTAAAGAAAAATTTATTCTTTTTTTTTTTTAATTTAATGTGTTATTTTTTCCCTAGCTTCTTTAGTCAGCTGCTGTAGCAATTGCTGTTGACACCCAAGATCCCTTTACTAGGCTTGCATACCCATCTACTGGTTCTGAGAATGTTGATTAATATCAACCCCCAAATGAACATTTCTCCTTTGAATTGTCACTGATTATGGGAGTTACCTTCTCTGAAAATACCTGAGGTTACGCTTTCTCCTTGGGAGTACCTTGCAGTAAATGACTAACTAAGAGAGTGGGACAACTCTGTGATGCCATTTATTTTCCAGAGCTCCCCATGGAATCGGGCTGAGGCTAAACTTTATCTGAGCTTACATCTCTGCAAGCTCCCAGGTGGCCTATGTGCTCTAAAGGCCTGCTGTCCACATTGATGCCTGCCATCCTGCTATGCACCCATACCGCCAATTGCTGATGGTTTGCTTCCCCACCTGCATTTGTAAGGATGGTTTGTTGTTATCCCAGAAACTCTAGAACAACTCTGGCCTGGCCAAATCAGTTAACTTCTCTGCTGTTTGGTGGGCTGAACCATATCTTTTCTAGTGAGATCTGTATCTCTTCCAACTTTTCCCCTTTTTTAGGTGCTCTCTCTCAGTGTGAGGTTACCATGTGGAGTTTCCCTATATGTTAAAGTGATTATTTTATCATAGTAATACTTTGTATTAAACTTTATCTATTTAACCTATTGCATGATTTCTATCTTCTGATTGGTCCTAGACTGCTACATCTTACGACTTATCAGTTTTTGTTTTATATATTTTGAGGCTTTGTTGTGTGGTATGTACACATTGAGGATTGTTATGTCTTCTTTGTGGATTGGTCCTTTTATAATTATAATGTCTTTTGCTGTCTTTAGTGATGTTCTTTTTTCTGATGTCTACCCTATCTGATATAAATATACCGACTTCTATGTTTTCTTTTTGATTAGTATTCACATGGCCTTAACTTTTTTCATCTTTTAGCTTTCAACT